ATATATAAAATATATAAATATATATAAATATAAATAAAATATATAAATATATATACAGATATATATATATATAAAATTTTATATACTTTCTGCTTGGCTTTTCCATAGTAAATAAGAGTAGAGATTTCCTTTCTCACACATATCAAAACATTTGTTACTTGGGCTCAGAAGATCAGTAAAAGGCAGACAGTGAGTGAACTCATGCAACTTTTAAATGTAATTCAATGTCTGTTTTGTATTTTATCTGGATTCATCATCTCCCAATGATTTGAAAGTTGTGGTTCTGATTTTATGTGTATATACATATATTTCCCATTGTGTTATGATTATTCACATTCAATACTGGGCAATGATTTCTACTTATCAGCAAGAAAAGTTTCATAGTCTAAGAATGCCTAAGTGTAATTTTTTTGGTAGACTAATTACCACTTAAGAGCAGTTTTAATTAAAAAAGAGTCTTGCCCCATTTTAAACTCCCTTTCCCACAGATTTTCTCATTTTTCACCCCTGACACCACTCTTTATTTTTTGCAGATTTTTTTGATGAAAGCCAGTTTTTCTTGAAAAGCATTTCTCTATTTTTCTATTTAGTTTGAAGGCTTGTAGATTTTCTGGACCAAATATTCTTGAAGATGTTTATTATAGTTCACTAAATAAAAGTAAGATCTAAGGCTTAACACAGGAGCTGGGAAACTGGAAATTTTGAATTGTAACTCACTTTGCCTCCTGTTGTGGGACTTCAGTAAAGTGCTCTACTAGGAAGATGCTAATTCCTGATGTTCAAGGTGATTCTATATAGATGCCATGTATTTTACTGATTTATTTATTTTTTTTTAAGATTTTATTTATTTATTTGAGAGAGAGAGAGAATGAGATAGAAAGCACGAGAGGGAAGAGGGTCAGAGGGAAAAGCAGACTCCCTGCTGAGCAGGAAGCCCGATGTGGGACTGGATCCCGGGACTCCAGGATCATGACCTGAGGCGAAGGCAGTCGCTTAACCAACTGAGCCACCCAGGCGCCCATTTACTGATTTATTTTTAAGATTATTAAAAGATATTAATAATAGCTAGTTGAACTGGGTTTAACCATGAAAGTATCAGAGGTGTGTGAACTTGGACCTCTGTTACTGTAAGAGCACAAGTACTCATGCTTGTCCAAGGGACTGCTAAGTGGGGTGTACCAGCATCTATCCCTTTCTTAAGCAACTCAACACCACTCAGGGCATTATTTAAACAGTCTCTGTGCCTGTTAATGAACAACCATGGGGCTGAAGTCAGAGATTTGAGCCTGCGTAGTTAAGAGTATAAAAGTCACCAAAATGTACATAGCAAGGTAATGTTGTAAAAAGTTAAAGCACAAAAAAAGGGGGAAGATTGGAAAATAAACTTGGTTACATAAATCGAATGCTAAGAAAGCCATGGTAAGAGACATACAAGAGAGTACTTCTTATAGAACAGAAAGAGGGGGACCTCTGGGAATTGGTAACCTTCTGCGAATTAGGTGCCAGTTATGTCCTGGACCAATTATCAGTGCTTTTACTAAAGACAATTTTTTGAAAAACATTTTATTTATTTATTTGAGAGAGAGTGTGTGTGTGTGAGTGGGGTAAGGGGCAGAGAGAGGGGATCTCAAGGAGACCAGAGCCTGACTTGGGTCTCCATCTCACAACCCATCAAATCATGACCTGAACCAAAACCAAGAGTTGGACGCTCAACTGACTGAGCCACCCAGGAGCCCCTAAAGATAATTGATTTAAAGCAGCAATCTTGGGAACAAGCATGGCCAGATGTGATCCCAGACTCCTTACTGAGTGCCCTTGACAAATCACTTAACTTTTTTTTTGCACATCAAACCACAGAAAATTTATTGAATAATAAACTTGTGGCAAACAATCCAGCTGTATTTTTTTTGCACTCATTCATCAAATCACTTAACTTCTATGAATCTCAACTTTTCTAAAAAGTGAGGATAATTATATCTACTTCACAGGGTAATGTAAGGATTAAATGAGGTGATCCGATATTAGTAAAGAATAGTTCTTTTCCCATTCCTCTAACAACACCAACATGCATTCCTTAGAAGTGGTCTGTAGTGGTTAAGTGCTGGGACTCTGGAATCAGACTGTTCAAGTCATGGCTGTCTCACTTATCAGCTGTGTGACCTTGGACAAGTTACTTGACCTCTCTGTGCTCCATTCTCATAATATGTACAATGAGGCTATTAATAGTACTTTCCCCATAAAGTTGTTATGAGGATTAGAAGAGTTTAATCTATGAAGTATTTAGGACAGCCCTTTGGCACACAGTAAACATTTAAAAGTGTTAGCTAAAAATGTGCAATAGTTTTGGATTCTTTCTAGAAGTGATTCATTTTGTGTTATGTTCACATAACTGGACAGGAAGACATGGTAACAGTCATGCCAGCAGTGGGGTGAGTTTCTTGTAATTCTGTTTGGGGCAACATTGCCTGCTGTGAACAGGTGGTGGTGATGCTTTTCCTTCTAGCTAAGGTTGTAGATGGTTGCAGGGCTGTTCTGGGTGAGAGCCTTTAGAGCCAGCAGCCAGGCTGTCTTGCATCCAGCCTTTGTTACTGATATTGGGCAAATTAACATTTCTGACTGTTTCTTCCCTTGTGAAATGGGGATAATTTTTGCCTTTGGGGGTGGTATGAGTATTTTATGTGTTAATTTACCTAGAGCCCATGTAGCCTGCACCCAGCACAGAGCTGCAGTGGTAACGATTATTACATCAAATATATACAGCATTCGGGCCCTCGGGGGTTCAAAGGAAGGAAAACCAGAAGGCAGCTAGAAGTGGGACCTTTCTGCCTGTCTGAACTCGGTCTGGGTAAGAGGAAGAAAATCTCTTCCTTTTGCAACCTAAATGACTACAGAGGTCTCCCGTGGGCCCCTGCTTTTCGTGCACCGCCCCCCCCCAATAGGCAAAGACACCATTCTTTCCAGTTTTATAATCTCATTTCTGTACGTGCGGGTTTATCTGGGCTTGGTGGTAAGCCAAGGGTGGGTGCGGAGAAGCATTAAAACCTGGCAACCTAGCTCCCCCATCTCTGGATGCCTCAGGGCTCCTGCCAGCCGTCCCGGGTTAAAAAACGTGCTTTTTATTTCACTTCCCTGCAGTCTCATGTGCAGCTGCTCATTACCACCCGCTTCAGTCACCACTGCTAGCGTCTCCCCAGAACGTTTTCCCCTTCCCCCATTTCAGGGACATTGGTCGTAGCTGACATTTAAAGGAAATAAACACGGATTTTAAAAATTACCACCTTCTCTGCCTGAAGAACCCAGCAGCAATGAATAACAGAACAGTCCAGCGAAGGGCGCCTGTCGGGGCTCAGCTCCGCCAGCCCTTCCTGCCATTCAATTCCCCACACGCGAGCAGCACAAATCACCATTTCCAGGCACCACTCGAGGCTGCCAATTCCACTTTTGCTTAATCTCATTTAAAACCCGGCTACAGACGAGGCTCTGTCGCTGCGGCGAGGAGCCGGGCGGGGGGCAGCGGGAGGGTCGCGAGGCCTGGATGGGAAGGGAGCGCAGGGGCCCCTCGCGGTTCGGGGCCGCGGGCGGATCCCCAGAACAAGTGCAGGCCGCCGGGCTCCGAGGCGGGCGAGCCCCGAGGGGCGCGGGGCGCGGGCGGCGCAGACAAAGAAGCCGGCGCTAGAGCCGGCCCCACCACCCCTCTCCTTCCCCCCGCGCCTCCTCTCAGGAAAAACAGGGAAATCTGAGGGCCAAAGGGGATGGTCTTCTCCTTGTGCTCTCCCAGACAGCTGGGCGGGAGGTTCTCTCTCTCCGAGGTTTCTCCGTCCCCTGCTGCAGGTTGGCGGCCCCCGTGGCCCCCGACAGCACCCCCCCCAGACCCACCCCCTCCTCCGGCTCGCGCCCCTCGGCGGCCTTCCGGGTGGGAACTACACCGCGGCGCCGGGGCCCCGGGAGGCGTGCGCCCCGCGCCGCCCGAGGTGCGAGCGAGCGAGCCCGAGAGGGCGGGGGCCGGGCGGGCGCGCGCGGGGCGGCGCGCGGGGGCGGGGGAGCGGCCGGGACACGTGTGGCGGCGGCGGGGGGGACTCGGCGCCCGGGGCTTTAAGAAGGTGTGGAGGGGGGCGGGCGCTTTCCCAGGCCTGGCCGAGGGGCGTCGCGCAGAGGCGGCGGCGGCGGCGGCGGCGCACGGAGGCGGCGGACTACGCGCTCTCGGCGCCCGCAGTCCGGGTCCCGCTCTCCCGCGGCCCAAAGAAACTTTGCGAGCCGCGGTCTCCCCCGGAACTTGCCGGCGGGGCTTCGCTCCCGAGCCCGCTCTGCTCCCGTCCGCCGCCTTCTCGCCTTCCCTCCGCGTGGCTCCTCCGTCCCGGCGCCTCCCAAACTGAATGAGCGAGCGGCGCTCGGGGCGCGCGACGGCGGCGGCGGCGGCGGCGGCATGGAGCGCAGTTGCTGGGCCCCGCGGACTTTCCTCCTGGCGCTGTTGCTGGGGGCGACGCTGAGGGCGCGCGCGGCGGTGGGCTATTACCCCCGCTTCTCGCCCTTCTTTTTCCTGTGCACCCACCACGGGGAGCTGGAAGGGGATGGGGAGCAGGGCGAGGTGCTCATTTCCCTGCACATTGCAGGCAACCCCTCCTACTACGTACCGGGACAAGAATACCATGGTAGGTACCAGAGCAGCTCTGCGCTCGCCGCCCGGCCCGGTGCGCCCGCGAGCGCAGCTTTTTATCCCTTTCCTTCTTCCAAGGGGCCCTTTAAACGAGAGCCGAGAGAGCCCTTCCCTCAACATTGCGCTCCGTGGAGGGACAGAGAACAAAGTTAGTGAGGATCGAGTCGCGAGTTGGGATTTATTCGCCACACAGCACACACCCCCCTCACTCCTCTCCTCGTAACGAGCCGGTTCTTGTGGGAAACGCCTGAGAATTGGGGGTTGGCGTCTTTCCCCGCTCACTCCTCGTCTTTGCCGCTGACACGTTTAGTGGATCCGCGCGTCTTGTTTCTCTAACCCTCTGCTCGGATTCCAGACCTTTGTCCTGCTCCCGGTTCCCCCCTAAAGGGTCGCCGGGTGGCGTTGGGGCTGGCGCCGGGCTCTGCGGACGGGCTGGTGACAGATTGACGCGCCCCGGTCCCCGGCCAGCCCCGCGCCGTCGCCTGCCCGCTGCAAAGTTCCCGCTGCTCGCCAGCCAGGGGTCCCCCATTTCATCCAGTGTCAAACGGCCCTCCTGAAATGGAGCGGCTGCTTCCAGCGCTCTCTGTGCTTTATAAAGTGTCCCTTAAAATGTCCGTAATAGAGGGGTTTTTAAAAAATTCCTCTTACTTTTAACGTGCTGCTTGTTTTTAAAGTGATCTCTGTGTTTATTGATGACTATGTCTTTTATCTGCACAGCTTTAATATCCAGGAAAGGGCTTGAAGCCCCTTATAATTTAAAGGTATCTTTTCTTTAAAAAGGATCATTATGGAGTCCTTCATCAAAATTAAACGTTGCTGAGGAAGTAAAATATAGCTCCGAGAAATAGAATTTTATATGGTGCATGTATTTTGACTGTTTTAAGCTAGTAAATCGAGTATGTGGGGGAAATAAGATATTATCTATTTTCTGTTATTTCCTCTGGCACTTCTGAATATTTCACTTCCATGGTGCTTCTAAGGTGTGACAGGCACTATTTGATTAGAATTTCAAGGCAAAAATACTTATACCCAACCAAATAGAAACTATTGCCTAGTCATCTCCTATTATAGTTTCCATGTCTTGTAGGCTAACAATTATTGACATAGCAGGAGATAATCCACCCAGCAGCTGGCACATGCGTGTAAAAATGATCAGAGTACTTAAGTTTTCTATTTTTTGAAAAACATCTTCATGTCTGCTCTAAAATGTTTTACGTAAATAAATGCTTTCCTGGGGTTTAGAAGAGTGCTTTTACAACTTTCTTGTGGCATGGTGGCAGCCTTGTCTGAAAAGCCGGAGTCTAATTCGGTGGAATTTTAGACTTTGAAAAATTAATTGTCAGTAACTAGTCCATTCTTTAATAAAGTGTTTCTGTCACTCCCTTCCCAAGAACGTTCTGGTGTTTTTTCTGAGGTCCCGAGAATCCTTAAGTCGAAAGACTTGCCAGTTTGATGGCAACCCAGACCTAACCCAAAGACTGATTGATTGAGCCTGTCACTTGATATGACCCTTAGCAAAGGTACTTGCCTGTCATTAGTTCTAAGTGAGAGTGGTTGGTAAGTGAACCAAAGCTGGGCTAAAAGGTATGATTGTCAGGTTGTGATGGAAGACCATGTGATAATACAAAGCCTTGTTACTGGGTTTTTTTTTTTTTTTCTGTTTTCCACATCCTTTGTAAGGTGCTAGCATAGGAAACTTAAAAATACTAAAATATGACATAGCCTTTGCTTTTGCTATAAAGCTAGCAAATATAAGTCAGCCAAAGACTGACCATAATCACATACCTGAGTCTGAAAAAGAATGAATGATACAGAATAAGAAAAAAGTGTAATACTTCAAGTTGTACATTGTGCGGGAAACCTCAATTCCTACCTCTTTCCTGCCATCAGAAAAGGTAGGGAAATTTTATTATGTAACATCAAGAAGGTCAAATTATTATAAACTTTGAGAACTGTTCATAGCATATTTTAAATTCCCGTTACCTGTTTTATCAAATACTTAGATTTTGAAACTGCCTGCTTGAAACAGGCCTACAGTAAGAGTTTTTCCCTGTAAAATGTTCTACAGGTTGAAGAATTGTTTGAAAATGAAATGATGCTTTTGTGTGTCTCTTTTTCTTTTAGACTTTTAAAAATTAATGTCAAAATTAATTACATAGCATCTTTAGGAATTGAACTGATAATAGAAAAACTTAATCTAATATACATTTCTGGTCGGCTCATTTTATATGAGACCAAAATAGAAGGTCATTCAGCCAAAATTTTTTAAAGCTCAGAAATCTGTAAAATATTAACTTGAGATTTTATTTCTAACCTTCTCAGTCTTTAAAGGTAGCAACTATGTCAGGACAAATCAGTCTTATCTGTGATTTACATTGAACTCATCGTTTAGAGGAATGGTGTTTGGGTACAGCTGATGGTTGTCACTTTCTTACCTAAGAGAGTGCATTGAGATCGAAGTGGTATGTTTAAGGGCCCCTAACACAGAACATTACTGTAGATCAGACTATGTCAGCTGCCCCCTGGGACTTGGGCTGTGTGACAGAGCTCAGAATGTGAAATGGAGAGGCAAATGTCAGTCTAGTATAAAAGTGGTTCAAAATTATGGGTCTCTGTATGTGTCATCTTTATTTAAAGATTTTATTGAAAATCTTTTGGGGCACCTGGGTGACTCAGTTGGTTAAGCATCTGCCTTCGGCTCAGGTTATGATCCTGGAGTCCTAGGATGGAGCCCCGGAGTCAGGGTCCCTGCTCACTGGGGAGTCTGCTTCTCCCTCTCCCTCTGCACCTCACCCCCCACCCACGCTCAAGCACTCTCTCTCTCTTCTCTCAAACAAATAAATAAAATCTTAAAAAGAAAATCTTTTCAAAAACAAAAATATAATACTACAGAATTTGAAGCTTGCAAGTCTAAAAGAGTTGTCATATATTTCTAACATTAAGTAGTATATCTCTGTATTTGCAGTTTTGGCAACTCTATAAACAGTACATGGTTACTTCTACTAGTTTTCATCTCTTAATTAAAGGGTGTCGGTACCTCAGTTTTCATCTTCTTATTCATTCATTCATTCATTCATTCATTCATTGGTGAGGGAGAGAGTTGGGGGGAGGGAGAGAGAGAATCTTAAGCAGGCTCCATGCCCAGGATGGAGCCTGACGCAGGGCTCTATCTCAAAACCCTGAGATCATGACTTGAGCCAAAATCAAAAGTTGGATGCTTAGCCGACTGAGTGCTCCATCTTCTTACATCTTTTAAATTTTGTTGTCTAGAACTTTCTTGAGATGGCATCATTAGTCACAGTGAACTATGGTGTCCTTGCATGAGTATACCACATTGCAGAAACTCAGCAAAAAGAGGTCTTACATACATTGTGTTGAATTAGAAAGGTCTCAGGATCAGAACCTTTTTTTTTTTTTTTAAGAATTTACTGGTTTTGCACAAGTCCCAAAATGGTCAATTTCCACAACATGATTTCCAGGACCAACCCTGAATTTTTTTGTAGAAGGTTGCAAATAACGGGAAGATAGGAAATGGAAACCTAGCTGGTCTAGCCAGGTGGCCATTTCTCTTTCCCAGCCACGCCTGGCAATTCACTGCTCCTTCTCCTAGGAACCAGGGCAGTATTGTGAAACATGCAAAGGTCGAGTTGATGTCTGCACCTTTCCCTTCCCACGATAATCCCTCTTTCTCCCCTTTACCCTCAGGTACGACCTATCCTTTTTTGTTTACAGCCTCCTCCCCCCAACTGATTTGTAGAGTGTGACTCATCAATATTAAATTCTCATGGAATAAGAACCTACTTACTCACAAGATTGGCTTTACTCAGTCACCATCAGAGAGGAGAGGTCAGACATTAGAAAAAGCATCCATGAGAGCCAAGCATAGGTAAATGAGTCTGTGGAAAGTGCCTGAGCTTGGATAAGACAATTTATCTAAATCCAGAAATAGACTAGACTCCCTATTTTTAAGGGGGCGTAAGGTGCGGGTAGTAGTCCTTTGTAGTGAAAAAATGTTCTAAAATATTTGATTGAGGGGAAAAATATTCTGTCTTAAGCAGAACTGAATTAGTAATATGGTATAATACTTTAAAAGAGGGATTGTATTGTATTTTGTAAATGCAGTAGTACTGTTGGTGGTTTTTGCATGCTATGTTTCCATCCCATTATTTATTTAATCATTTTATGGGGTGATTGGGGAAATCAATTCCCGCTGCTAAAACTGAGCATTTACCTAAAAAAAGATATAATTGGAAAAAGAGCATTTTGTCGTAACAATTGCCAATATTACTATTATAAATACGTGTGTTCTGGAATCAACATCTTGGTATTTAAAAATCACTGTTCAAAGGCAGTGCGATATAATGACTTTTCAAATATAGGAATGATATATGTCAGACATAATTTTTGGTAATATACTCCAAGTAAAATTCCTTTCAAAGGAATGATATTATCATTTGAATTAAAGTAATCTCATGTTGCTAAGGTAAAACTATTGTTTGATCAGATGTGTGGTTATTTGTCCTTTACCTGTCTCGGATTCCAGAGTCAGCACATTTAAACTCTTAGGATCATTTGTCAAATGCAATTTATTAAGTGAACTGCAGTGGTGTCCTACTCGTATGTGACTGTGAAAATTGACCATTTTAAAGCATTTTGCTCTAACAGTTATATATTTCATCTCATTCTCTACAATTTATTTCAAACATGTTTTACTGATGTGGTTCAGATTGGTTCTTAAATCATATAATCTTGCTTTAATACATATTCCCCATGTGAGGTTCAATTCCAACCATAAATTAAAAAAAATCAGGTCTCAGGCTCATAATTGAAAACATCTCATTTAAGCAGATATTCTTACTTCATTCATTATACTACATTACTAGAAATTATTTGATTAGAGTATTTCCCTCCAATTTTTATGAATCTTTATTTTAAACTATTATTTTTATTTTCATTAAAAATGTTAAAGAATAAAATAAAGTTGCATATTGTAAC